CCCTGGGCAGCGCTTTCGCGGGGGCCAGGACGTTGCTGGCCAGTGGCGGGCCTGAGGCGTTGGCTGGGCGCGGGCCAGCTGCTGCGTGCGTGTTAGCCTGCCACCGCCTGGGCTGGACCGCCACACTGCCAGGGCTGCTCACCAACGACAAGCAGCAGCTGCTGGACCTACGGACCCTGGGGGCCTCCACGCTCGCCAAGCACATCGCCGATGGCCACGAGAGGGCGCTGTGGCGAGCAGCGAGCAAGCACCCAGGGCTGGAGCATCTGCGCGATGGAGGCGCCCTGTCCAGCATCAGGCGCACACTAGCACGCAAGCGCATGAGCAAGCAGAGGGCCAAGCAGATGAGCTCGGCCAAGAACGCGCTGGTCGGATGTCTCTGGCCCGTGGCGCGGCGCTTCTTTGAGGAGCGCCCATTGGCCTCCTCTCCTTGGGGCCCCAGGGGATGCCCTGCGCACGGCACCGTGCGGCACCTGGCGTGGCAGTGCCCTGCCACCGAGGCGAGCCGCGCCGAGTGGATCTCCAACGAGGAGGCGGACGAGCGGCGCCCCCCTGGCGACATCCCCTTTCGCACCATCGTCGATATGGCCAGCATCGGGGGCGAGGAGGACCCGCTCTGGCCCCGCGCTCTTGCGCCAGAGCACCGAAGGACCCTGCCACCGCCCACCGACACCAGGGAGACGCGGAAGGAGGGCCGTGCCGACTTGGTGGGGCAGCCGCTCTCGGGCGACCTCTTCACGGACGGGAGCGTTCTGGACCCCAGCCTCGTCTCGGCGCGCGGCGGCTGGGCGGTCGTCGTCATGGGACCCGACAGCGAGGCAGTCAGCCTCTTCGGCCCGCCCCCCTGGCCGTACCCCCAAGAATCAGGGGCAGCGGAGCTCGCGGCGGCCATCGAGGGCATCCAGAGCTGTTTACCACCTGTGCGGATCTTCACTGACTGCCAGCTGCTCGTGGACGGCTTCGCGGCGGGCAAGGCGTGGTGCCTGCAGTGGCAGCGGCCTTACCGCGAGCTGCGGGTGCGGTTCTGGGCGGCCCTCGACGACGCGGGGGTCGACAGCGTCACCATCCACAAGGTGAAAGCGCACGCCACGCTGGCGGACGTGCAGGCGGAGCGCATCACGGCTTGGCAGCGGCGGGGCAATCACAGCGCCGATGCCCGTGCCGTGCAAGGCGCGCAGATGCATCCCAGCGACGACGACGTGCGAGACAGGAGCCGCAGGCAGGACCGTCTCGTCAAGAAGGTCTTCTGCTGGCTGGGTGCGGCGATGCAGGACGGCGACGCCGAGCTCACAGCAGCGGACGGGCATGAGGGCCCAGGCATGGAAGCAGTTCGGTGCGATTGGCGCGGCTGCAAGATGCGATGGCGAGCTCACTGCAGTTTCCCCGACTGCCCGCAGCGCACGTGCGGGCGGCACGGGACGTGGCTGGACGTCGACGGCGACACGGTCTGGGCCTGCCAGCAGTGCGCGGGCAGGGGCGACGCGCTCGCGGGCTCCTGGGCCTCTGGGGCCGATAGCAGTGGCGGCTCAGTTGCTGCAGCCGCGGCGCTCCTCTCGGCGGGCGCGGCGCTGCTGTCCCGCAGTCAGGCCAGCGATGCACCAGCACAGGTGGAAGGAGTCGAGGCGCGTGCAGGGCGAGACGGCAGCGGCGCGCCTGGCGGCGGCCAGAGGGGCAGCCCACCGACGTCGGAGGGCCCTTCTGGGGCCGGTGGCGGGCCCCCGCCGCCGCCGCCGCCGCAGCTCCCGCCGTGGTGGGGAGTCGACGCTCACGGCTCCCACGACCTGTGGCGGGCTGGTAACCACCTCTTCTGTGTGAAGTGCGGCTACTGGACGCAGAGCCGCAGGATGGCGGGCTTGGCAGCGGAGTGCCCGAAGGCCCCCAAGAAAGACAGGCAGAAGGCGGTGCTCAGCAGGCTGAAGCGCGGCCTGCAGCCCGCTGGGACGGGTGGCATCGGCGACCCTGAGCCGCTGCGGCGCATGCGCAGGCGCGTTGATGGTGGCTAGGCTCTTTCGCCGCGTCGCTCGTTCCAGTGCTGAGGCGGAACCCAGTGCGTAGGGGTTTCCACGCGCATGGGATCGGGCTCGGCTGCCAGCGGCAACGCAGCAGGTCGGCATCTGGCCAGGACCCGCTGCGATGTTGGTGGCGAGGTGCATCCGCTTTCGCACGGTGCTTAGTCGGGCGCGCTCTGTGCCTTGCATGGCTCGCCCAGCGGAAGCTGAACCAGGTGCGTAGGTTCGCACGCGCACGGGATCGGGCTCCGTCTGTTCTGCGCTGCTCTGTCCCCGCGCTTGAGCGGAGGCTGAACCAGGAGCGTAGGATTTCCCACGCTCGGGATCGGGCTCTGCTGCCAGCGGCAACGTTACGTCCCCTTGGACGCTGCGATGCTGGTGGCTAGGCCGCCTTTCGCTCGGCGCTCGTGTCCCGCTCTAGAGCTTGCTCCTGCCGTTGCACGGCGCTCGCTCGAGCGGGATCTGAACCAGGTGCGTAGGTTTCCACGCACTGGAGCACTCCGTTTAATGTAGAGGCTGGCGCGCTTGCCGCGACGGCCAGCGCTTCGTGCGCCCCAGCTTGCTCTGCTCTGTGCCGCCAGTCGGAGGCTGGACCGTGGTGGTAGGTTCGCACACCGCCATGGTTGCCTCCGAAGGCCACCGCATTGCAAACCAGTCCCTGTCTGTGGCCAGGAGCCAGCGGGAGGTTTGCGTTGCTGTGGCACTTCGAGCCAGCAAGCTGAGTTGCCGTGAATGCTCGATGCCCTGCCTTTCGCTTGCCTCGGCCGAGGCGGATGGCGTGGCGTCTAGTTTTCAGGCGAGTCTGCGAGTGTGCCTTGGGCACGGGCCAGGCCTTGCGTCCGCAGCGCCAGAGGGAAAGGCCATGGCTTCGGGAGGCTGTATCGAGCGGGGAGCTCCAGACCTTCTTGGATGCGTGGATCATCATCATCATTACCATCATCACCATCATCATCATCATTATTATCATCATCCATCGTTATGCTCTCTCGAGCCCTCATCATCCTCACCCCCGTCCTCATCATCCTCCTGACCGCCGCACCCCTTCACCATTCTTATCACAGTCCTCCGCCCTGCTGAACTGCCAAGCTGACAACCAGATAGCGCAGTGCCGTGTGCGTGCAGCAGCAGCAGTTGCGGACTAGTGATGAGTTCGCGTGCGTCAGATGGTTCTCCCAGTCTTTGGGGAGTTCCGAATTTATCTGGGCAAGCCGTCATGTCAACACTCACAGGTCTCAGGACTTCACATTTAGACGTTTTGCCGCCTGAGCACAAGAACATCGTCGGGTCTAATACAATAGTGGACCACCATGCGAAGGCGGGTCCCAGTGCCCGATTGGCCCCTGACCCTTTTCCGTCAGAGTGTTGAGTTGGCCGCTGAAAGGTCCAACGCCGTTGTCCGCTTTGCTGCAGATATCTTGGCATTACTCAAGATTGGTGCCCGATGATCGAAGCCTAACTGGCGACGCGCGGGACAGGTAGTTGGCATGGCTGCGAGAGGAGAGTCCGTGATTGCATGATGCGGCACTGCAGGGCTCAGGCTGCGTTTTGGTCCTTCGGCACCGCGGATACAGCCGGCCTGAAGTTGGATTTGAAGTTTTCGTATGCATCTGAGGAGGTTAGCGAGGAGGAGGGCACGAGGCCTTTCGCGATGGGTCCCAGGGCCATGGGGGGCTGTTGGGTCCTCCGTCGTTTTTCTCTGCTCCTCCTCCTCCTCCTCCTCCTCCTCCTCCTCCTCCTCCTCCTCCTCCTCCTCCTCCTCTTGCTTTTCAAAGGTTTCTGTACTCAGCTGGGGTTCCTTGGGTCGTGCGTGGGCACTCCGGGCACTCCCGGCACTCATGATCCGCTTTTACCTCATGTTCTAGGGCGGCACGTTTATTTCAATCCATTGCGTCGATCTCCGTACGTGCATTCTGTGGAATGCTGCAGACTTCAGACCGTATGTGTAGAGCCCCTTGCTCAGACCTCAGCGCAGGCCTAGCGAGGGGAAATGCTCTCCATGTTTGTTGTTTGCACTTGTTGCGGGGCGTCGGTGCACCAAGTTGATCGAGGAGGCCTCTGGGCTCTTGAAGCGCTGCCTGGGGCCCAATCATCATGGGTGAAAGACTCGGCGATCCCGCTTGCGGCGGAGAGTTTTCCAGGCCACAACTTGGAGAAGTCGGCGGTAGGACCAGCGGTCGAGCCGTCGGAGGCGTTCAAAGTTACTTGGGGTTCCCTGCTGTTGGGCGAGGGGTGGGTCCCCACAGTGACGTTTTAGGAACCTCCGCGATGGTCGAGGCGGAGCCGCAGGAGCTGCGACTGCCAAGTTGCATGCTTGTGAGTCCCCAGAAGCTCTGGTGGAGTGGGAACGTGCCCAGCGCCAGCCGTTTTGGGGCCCTTCGCGGGCTGTCTTGGGCAGCTGGCGGGGGAGAGAGCGTTCTCGTGGGCCGCGAGGCCCAGCGCGGCGGCGCCCGAGCTTCTCTGCCTGCGCGCGAGGGGCCATCGGACGGTCCGTCTCTCATGGAAGCTCTTCCTTCCCCTGCTCCTCTCTTCCCTCGATGGGCAAGACGGCATAAACATAATTTCGCAGAGCTCCGCGCGGAGTTCTTGGATCTGCTTTGGGCCCGCTCCTCTCTTCCCTCGATGAGCAAGACGGCACAAACATAATTTCGCAGAGCTCCGCGCGGAGTCCTTGGATCGGCCTTGGGCCCCCCTGGCGGCGCCTCTGGGGCCGGCCCTGGCGCGCTCCGCGCGCCAGGGGAAGGGGGGCCCAGCGCGGATCCGAGAATCCGTGCGGACCTCCAACAGTTTTCATGGTTCTGCCGTTTTTGTTGTGTTTGTTATGCTCCCTCTTCTGCCTCCCCCCGCGCCCTCTGGCGGCGCCTCCGGCGCAGCCCCTGGCGCGCTCCGCGCGCCAGGGAGGGGGTCCCAGCGCGGATCCAAGAAATCCCTCCAGTTCATGTTCATGCCGTTCTCTTGTTTATGTTATGTTCTCTCTTGCTCCCCCTTGCCGAGGCGGAGGCGCAGCGGGGGGAGCTGGAAAAGAAGCTGGGCGGGCTGGGCGTCTGCCTCGAGGAATCCCTGCGAAGGCGCGGGCTGCTGGTGCGCCCGGGGCGGTGGCAAATACCCTCGGGGGGGGGGAGGGGGGACTGGGGGGCGCGGGCGGGACATCTTCAGGACAGGGGCAGAGGAGAAGGGAAGGCAGCGCTCGTTTCAGCAAGTGTGGAGGATCGCCGAACTCGCGACAAGGGTGGGGGTCGCCATTTCCGGCCTGCGGGGGGGAAGCGGCGGGGGGCGGTTCGGGCCCCCGGGGCCTTCATGCGTCGATCGGGGATGCCGAACGCACCAGGACGGACTCCTGCAGATTGGATGGGCCGGCGCAGGAGCGGTATTTGGGGGAAGAGAGCCGGGGCGGAGGGAGATACAGGAGGAGGGAGCGATGACGGCGATGGTGACGTGACGGTGGCGATGACGATGACGATGATGATGACGGTGTGTTGGGGAAGGAAACATAATGGACGGGGGACATATGTATATATACACATACATGTATGTTTATGTACATATACATATGTGTTTATGTATGTATGTATGTATGTAGGTAGGTAGGTAGATAGGTAGGTATGTATGTATGAATGCATGCTTGTTTGTATGTATGTATGTATGTATGCATGCATGTATGTATGTATGTATGTATGCGTGCATTTATGTATGCATGCATGCATGCATGCATGCATGCATGCATGCATGTATGTATGTATGTATGTATGTATGCATGCATGCATGCATGTATGCAATTATGTATGTATGTATATATGTATGTATGTATGTATGTATGTATGTATGTATGTATGTATGTATGAATTGATGTATGTATGTACGTATGTAGGTAGGTAGGTAGGTAGGTAGGTAGGTAGGCAGGTTTATATGTATGGTAGCCCCCCCCCCCACATGATCATACATATTCGTCTTTACCGCGGCCGCCGATCGATATCTTCTTTCTCCGTTCCCTTCTCCTGTCTCTTCCTTTCTCTCCTCCTCCTCCTCTGGTAATCGCACTCGGGTTCCCCTGGTGTCGTCGAGTGAGCTGTGGGGGGGTACGCCCCCACAGCCTCCCCACAGCGATCCGCTAGGGGTCGGGCTGAGGGAGCTCGCTTTCGCGCACCCCCGCGCGTGCTCTGAGACGAGAGTCGCGGCCCTCACGTTCCCCCTCTCTTTCCCCGTCCTATTCCTACATAGCAACTCCATAGCCCGCCTCTTCGTCGCGCTCGCTGTGCGTTTCGGCGTATACTCCCTCCTTCACCTTAGCCCTCTCCCTCATTTTTCCGATCCGAACTCCTCTTCGGAGCGTGATTTGGGGAGAGGGGAAAGTAGTATTCATATTGAATAAGTGTAGAAGGGTAGAAAAGTCAAGGCCCCAGCAGCGGCAGCAGCAGCGACGGCACGGCGAGCGGGGAGAAGGAGGAGGAGGAGGAGGAGGAGGAGGAGGAGGAGGAGGAGGGCGCGCTCCCTTCTGCCTCCGTTTCCGCCGCCGCCGATCTCCCAAAGCGATCGGGCTCCCGCACGCCTGTCCCCGTGCACACGGGCCCCACACGGGCGGTCGGGCCGAGCTTGCCCCGTTGCCGTCCGCCCGCCGGCTGCGGCTCCTGCCGCAAATTACAGCACGCCTGCACGCCTGCACTAGAAACTACAAAGATCGTCTCCCAGGGACCCAGGGACGACAGTTGCTTGCTTGCTTGCTTGCTTGCGTCGCCGCCGCCGCCGCCGTCGCCGTCGTCGTCACCGTCGTCGCCGCCGTCCCAGGGACCACAGGTGCTTGCTTGCTTGCTTGCTTGCGTCGCCGCCGCCGCCGCCGCCGTCGTCGTCGTCGTCGTCGTCGTCGTCGCGGTCGGAGTCGTCGGGGTCATCGTCGTCACATCATCCTCCTCGTCATCATCGTCACCATCATCATCATCAAAGCCAACATCATCATCATCATCATCATCATCATCATCATCATCATCGTCATCGTCATCGTCATCGTCCTCGTCGCCATCGTGATATCGTCGTCGTGCCGACGTCGTCCATCACCAGCATCATCATCGGCATCCTTCATAATTACTATCGCCATCATCATCACCATCATCATCAGCAGCAGCAACAGCAGCAGCACCATCATCAGCATCATCATCGCCCATCATCGTCATCGTCATCGTCACCGTCGTCGCCCTCCTCCGCCTAACACCTTCCCATCCATCCTCACCCTCCTCAGATCCGCCTCCCCGTCCACGAACTTCAATTTTCCTCACTCCTCATCCTCTCATCCTCTGCCTCCTCCTCCTTCTTCCCCTCCTCCTCCTCATCTCCTCATCCTCCCTGCCTCCCTCCATCCTCGTTCGTTCCCCCGTCCATCACCGAGGCGGGCGCGGCCCACCTCCTCATCACCCCAGGAGGAGGTGCGACACGTCGCGCCGTCGGAGCCTCGGCCTCGGCCTGCGACCGTCGGGCCGACACCTCATCCCAGGAGGTGCGCCGCGTCCGTGGCCGTGCCGGACACCCCCTGGGGGTCGTCGTCGTCGTCCCCCGTGCCTTCCGAGTGCCAGTGCGTCCTGCAGCGAGCCCGCTCTTCGGCGCCGTCACCTCCCAGGGGAACGGGGGCCGCGTGAGCGTCAGGACACCGACGGGCGTCTCCGTGCCCTCGGCCTGCTCGTTGTGGTTCTTGATGGCCTCCGCCAGGTCGGGGTGCTGGCTGTTGACCGACAGGAACCACCGCTTGAACTCGACCTCGCACCCGTCGACCTCGGGGCCGCGGGGATTAGCAAGGGCTCCCAACTTCGCGCTTCGCGCTGCGCGAAGCGCGAAGTGCGAACAACTTCGCGCTCTCGCGCCGCCTCCCAGGGGAGAAGAGGAGGATGAGGAATCGGAGCCGAACCGCGAAGCGCGAAGCGCGAATAACTTCGCGCCCTCGAGGGCGCCCTTGATTAGGAGGTTGGGGAGGCAGTGGGAGGAGGGCGAAGAGTGTGAGGAGGAGGAAGAGGAGGGTGAGGAGGGGCGGAGGGGGGACGAGGAAGAGGTGAGAGAAGGAGAGGGACGAGGGACGAGGAAGAGGGGAGGAGAGAAGGAGAGGGGCGAGGGAGGAGGAGGGAGAGGGAGAAGGGGGCGTCGGAGGTGGGGGAGCGGCGACGACGACGACGACGACGACGACGACGACGACCGACGACGACGACGACGACGACGACGACGACGACAACGTCGCCGTCGGAAGAAGCCCCCACTGTTGACGCGTCCCCCCTGGGGGGCCTCCACCATCTCCACCTCGTGCTCGAACGACATACTCGGCGGCGTCGCTGTCGGCGTCGTGCCGTCCTTCTGCTGCTTAGGCGCCTTGGGGACCTTGACGGCCCAAGCAGAAGAAACCAGCGCACCCCTGGGATCTCGGAGGTGCACCGATGGGACCATCCACACGGTGAACTCCTGATCCTTGAGCTTGAGGACACCGCATTCTACGCGAGGCTGACCGGGCCAGAAATAGTTGGAGGCATCAGTGACGCCCCCTGGGACGAGAACGACTTCTCCGACGTACTCGAGGCGGATGCTGATGGCAGTGGTGTGGAGCTCGGGGTCGGAGAGGTCAAGATACAGCTGCACGCCCCCCCTCCCAGACGAGAGAACCGCGGGCTGGGCGAAGATATCTTTCAGGCCCACGTCGCCCACATCATGAGAGGTCGGGGCCGTCTCCAGCCCATCCGTGGCGCAGGCCCAATGTTTGGTCCACCGCTGAAGGAAGTGCGCCGTGAGCAGTTGGCCGATGCGCAGCGCCTCGACGACAGAGCGGGCCCTGCTCGAGACGAGCATGCCGCTGAAGACGTTGACGTACTCCTTGTTGGCGATGGTCTTCCTCTGCATCGACTGCAGCGCCGCCTGGACTCTCTGGTCGATCTTCGCCTCTGCGCTGTCCCCGACCTTCTCGCCGCCCGCCGCCTTCTCGGCGCCGGCGCCCTCCTCCAGGGGCCCCGCCGCATCCGCCGCCACCGCCGCCGCCGCCGCTTCAGTGCCCTCGTCCTCCAGCCTCGCGACCTGCCCCTGCTCGCCTGGCAACTTGCGGCGCGCTTTCTGCTCATCCACCTCTCTCCTGAACGCCTCGAACGCCTCCAGCGTCTCTGTGTGCAGCACCTCCTTGGCCTTGTGCCAGTTCGCTCGATCTGCCTCGTGGTTGATCTTCGCGGTCTTGATCACCTCGGTGCTGATCACGGCGACGATCTGCGGCTTGGTCAACGCATCCCACTCCTGCCCTTTCGGCTTCGCCATGGGGCAATCACGCTGCGCCTGCTCAGTCAAGACCGATTTGTTTTTGGCAAGCAGCTGGCGCTTGACCGCTGCCTCCTCCAACCGCCAGTGGGCATCTGACGCCGTTTTCACTGAGAGCCCCCGTAGGTCAGGGACTGCCTTGAAAGTCGCCTCCCAGAAATATGTAATAACCTCGTCCTCCTCATCAAATGCGCCCTCGTAGCTCACGAAATCATCAGGGTGCTCGCGCAGGAAGCGGACCCGTTCGCTCAGGTAAGCCCTCGCGCCATCTGATAGCTCGGACCTCGATGAGGCGGTCTCGAGCAGCAGAAGAACGTACCGGTACCGAAGCTGGTGCGTGAAGGACAGCGAGTCGAGGTCCCCCCACGCGGAGGCGACGAGTTGCGACGTGGCGAAATCAATCGATTCGATGTTGACCTGGAGGCCGGAAAGCTTGCTAAAGTTCGAGTCGCCCTGGCGCTTCTGAAGGATCCACTCCTGGAGCGGCGGGCTGGCGGAAGCAATGTCGTAGGCTTTCAGGAGGTAGCCAGTGACCATAAACATGTTAGATGGAGCTCCTGAGTACACCAGGCCCAGAGCCTTCTTCACCAAGTGCATCGCGCACGCGTGCGGTTCCAGCTTCGCCAGAGGTTCGGTCTTCAGCAGCTTCAGAAAGGAGCCAGTCGCCTTCGTCAGAGCGACGTGCGTGCTCCTCACATCTTCAGTCGAGGGCGCCGCTGGGTTGTCACTCAGGAAGTCCTCAGGAGGTCCAACGCATTTGCCACTGCCTCCTGCCCCCGCTCTTCCCTTCCCCCATCCTCCTCATTCCTCCTTCCTCCTCCTCGCCCTTTCCGCCTCGCCCGCTCCTCCCCATCCTCGTCCCCCCAGGGCGCGGGCGAGAGATGGTGGGTTGATTGCATAGCTCCTTGATCTTATCGACGTTGCGGTTCTTGTTCTTGGCGCCGAGGGGCCCCGACAGGAGCTGCAAGCAGAAGCGAATCATGGACTGTGCATCGCCCGTGTCAACAATATCCTCATCTTGAGCATCATCGGGCTTCTGCTTCTGGTTATGTGGGCCGTCACCCTCTGCTGCCGGGGCCGCCTCGATCCCGTGGACCATGGAGATGTGCTCGACGATGCGGCTCCTGAGAGGTAACCACTTGGAGAAACTCTCCTCGGGCGAGTCGGGCCCGCCGAACTTGAACTTGACCGGCGGCTCATCTTTCAACTTCAGGCCAAGCCTGCAGCCAAAACGAATCATCTTAGAAATCTCCTCCGGCATCCTGTTCTCTGTGTCCTTGATCGGCGTGTGCACCGAGCTCAGCAAGTCATCGGCGAAGACGCTCTTGCGAGTCTTGCCGCCAGGTGCACTGACCTCGGCCTCGAAGTTCACTTCGACGGGCTCGGGGGCAGCAGCGGGGGCATTGGACTTCTTGCCCCTGCTCTTGGGTTTGGCCTTGGCTTTCGCCTTGCCCTTGGCCTTCGGCGCTGGGGCCGCGCCGTCGACGAACACGGTTCCCCCCAGAGGGGTCAAGAGTTGGAGGACCCTCTTGCAGTCCTTGGTCTGCTGCAACAGCCATCCTTCCTTGCCGATGTCTGGATGGTCCGTGGGGGCCGCGTACTTCAGCACCTCCGCGACGATCTGCTTGAACTTGGACCCGTACTCTGCCGGGCATAGAATCTTCAAGACATTCTCGAAAACCAAGAAGCACGTGACCGACTTCAGGCGAGTATCCTCGAAAGAACAGTAGTCGCCCCAGAACTCCATGAGAGGCTGGAAGATGTCCATGGAGCCACATTTTGATCGGAAGCCAGCCGCACGTTTATAGTCCTCAAATCCAGCGAAGCAGTCGGGGCACCCTTGATGAACTTCGCATAGGCCGTCTCGTCGCCAGCCTGAGTACGAGGCTTTTTCGCCAGAGGCTGCCCAGGCTGCTCGTCATCGTCGTCCTCCTCGTCGGGGCGGTCGACCTCCATCTGCTGTTTCTCCCGCTCCTCTATGCGCTTCTGGATCCACGAAACGCTGATCACTGGGGCCAACTCCAGCACTTCTGCAAAAGACGTGCTGCTGCCGATCGCCACCATCTTGTTGCATTGGACCCTGATGAAGAACATCGCGTCGGGCGGGATCTGCGGGTTGAGGACCACGACTCTCTGAACCTGGAAGGCCCCCTACGACGAGGCCTCGCAGTGGCCGACCCCCCAGCCAGGGGAGGGGGATCCGAAGGCCTCTGAAAGGGGGGATCCGAAAGCCTCAGAAGCACGCCCGCCCCAGACATCAGTTATATGTATCTCGGGCACCCCATTCCGCACAAGCAAATCCGCAAACTTGTTGGAGAAGGTGCCGTCGGGCTTCCTGGTCTGCCCTATCATGTCGTAACATGCGTCGAGAAGCGTCGCTCCTCCGAGGACGAAGAGCGTCCAGCTCTGCACATCGAGACTGTCCGGCACGCAGACAATGTCGCCAGCCCTGTCGCTCCACACGACGCCCTGCTTGAGGCCCAGGGCCGCGTAGTACCTGCGGGTCGCGAGCTGCTTGCGCTGGTTGAGCTCGTGGCGGACGAAGATTCTCTGGCCCTTCTTGGGCCCGGACGCGTGATAGAAGTCGACGCGCTCCTTGCCCATCGGCAGGATGTAGTCGCGGTCGAACTTGGCGGGGGGGAGAGGAAGGGGGATGGAGGGCAGGGGGTGGATGGTGGAGGGGAGGGGGAGTTGAGGAGTGGGAGGAGGCGTTGACGAAGACGACGAGGACGACGACGAGGCGAGGACAACGGCCTCGAGGACGACGACGACGACGACGACGACGACGACGGCGACGGACCCCCAAGCCCCAAACCAGAACTTCCAACAAGGCCCCAGGGCGACAACGAGGAGCTAGGAGCGCTGTCCCGGCCAACATGCTTTGGAAAGACTTGGAGCTTGAGGCGGAGGCCATGCGGCCATGATTTGGGGGTCAGGGGTCAGTTCGGGCCAAGGTCGCCCCCCTCGGGGATGAAGGATCGGCTTGGACGGCCGCTTAGCCCTCCCACCATCTCGCGAGCAAGCCCACCCATGTCCAAGTGCGCGGCCCACCACTCCTGACGGAGTGCACCGCAGGCGATGGGTCGGCATCGCGCGCTAGATAACAGTGACAGGCGAAGCGGCGGTCCCGCGATCTCCGAGCCCATCCCCCATCCTCCACCTCCCCTCCCCCGACCTCCCCTCCACGGCCCTTCCCCGATCCTCCCCCCGTGCACGGCGCAGCGGTAGCGGCTCAAAGGCGCTGCCTGAGCACGCAGCAAGGCCCCCTGCAGGTCCGGGTGCCTCGCCTCAAAGTTCGCGAAGCCGGGCTCGCACGCAGATGGCCGCCCTTGCACGAGATCTGCGCTGCGAGCCTGCGGGGTGGAGGAGGCAGGGGGGGGCCAGGAGGGGTCGTTCGAGTCATCGGCCGAGGTAGGAGGAACAGTGAGGAGGACGAGGAGGAGGAGGATGTGAGGAGGGGGAAGAGGATTCGGAAAGAGAGGAGGGGAAGG